GTTCATTTGATTCTGGAGCCCTTGTTTCCAGGATCATGCATCAGCCTCCCCCTGAACGTGATGGGCAGTGCTGCTGTACTGTATTCTCGGTGTTTGGATTATGTCGGACTTGAGGGACCCGCGCTGTAAACGGCTTCTACTGGGCAGCTTTGCCCTGTCAGGCAATCCTGAAAAACTTCTTCTAGGACTGCTCAACATCTGGTTTCCCCGTGGCGGATATCGGGGGGCCCTGCTCCTCAAGACAGAGGAAGAGAATGAGGGGTGCCAAATTCTCAGGATAGAGGCACTGACTCCAGGGTGGAGCAGACGGGAGGTGCCTCTGGGATGTCTCTAGGGACAAGATGGCCCCGATGGGTTACCTGCAGGTTGCACTACATAGAAAGCTCCATTGAAAGCATGTTACCCAGCCACTGAGAGCTATAGGAAGAAATGCAAAGACAGCCAAATAAAAGTGAAAAACTTATTTGGTGGACATTTGGGGCAGCGATTTAGATACCACGTGGGGAGCCCACAGCCCGTATCAGAGTGCTTGGGTTTGAGTCCTGGCTCTGCGTCTGATTCTAGCTTCCTGCTAATGTGCACCCTTGGAGGCAGCAGGTGATGGCTGAAGCATGTGGGTGCTGGCACCCGTGTGTGAGACCTGGACTGAGTTGTGGGCTCCTGAGCTGCGGGCATTTGGAGAGTGAACCAGCAGATGGGAGATCTCTCTTTCTCTCTGCTTTTCCAATAAGTAAAATAATAAATTAAAGTTATGCTTTTAAAAAGTAAATATTTATTAACTCAAAGAAAAAAATAAACTTGTCCAGGAGAGAGGAAATTAGAGTTCATTATTTTATTTGGTTCATCAAATAATAATAGTCATATCATAGCAATGCAGACTCTAATGCTGAATTTAACCCTAGTCTGTGGTGTGACGATGCTGGGAGTCTTGGAGGGAAAGGGGCATGGCGGTGAGGCAACACCCTCCCCTGGCAGAACAGGAAGTCAACAGAACAGAACTCACAGAAGCGGAGAGCAGACTGGTGGTTTCCCGAGGAGTGAGGGGGAACAGGAGATGCTACTCGGGACACAAAGCCCCAGGGAGGCGGGAGGAACCAGTGATTTAAAAAATATACACACCCGGGGCCAGTGTTGTGGTGCAGTGGGTTAATGCCCTGGCCTGAAGTGCTGGCATCCCATATGGCACCAGTTAGAGTCCCAGCTGCTCCACTTCCGATTCAGCTCTATACCATGGCCTGAGAAAGCAGTAGAGGATGGCCCAAGTCCTTGGGTCCCTGCACCCACGTGGGAGATCTGGAAGAAGCTCCTGGCTCCTGGCTTCAGATTGGTGCAGTTCTGGCCATTGCGGCCAATTGGGGAGTGAACCAGCGGATGGAAGACCTCTTTCTCTCTCTCTGTCTCTCTCTGTCTCTCTCTCTCTCTCTCTGCCTCTCCTCTCTCTGTGTAACTCTGACTCTCAAGTAAAAAATGGGTAAATCTTTAATATATATATATGTATACACATACACACATCTATGGCAGAGTACTGCGAAAACAGCTATGATGAGCTCTGTACATTTTCATTTCTTGGAGAGTAAATCTCAAATATACTCATCACAAAAAAATGTCAACTATTTGTGGTGAATGGCTAATTAGCTTAGTTTACTCCATGTTGCACATTGTAAATCCATACAATTATAGTTCATCACTGTGGGGATCGTGAATAGAGCCACAGGAGGATCAGGCGCTCACTTTGAAAGGTTCCCAGAGGATCACCCACCTGGCTGCGGTCCCTGTTACAGAGGGTTGCAGTCAGGTCTGTTTAGAGACCAGCCAGCACCTGTCGGTCTGCACGCGGTGGTGCCCTGGGCCCGGGGCTGGCAGCTTGAACCAGGGTTCCATGAGGAACAAGTCCCCTGACAGTTCTCTTTAGAGGGAATTTTGGTTTTAGTTATTGCCAGATGTTCCATTGTAAATCCAAAAGCAGACTCAACTCCCTGGTGTTTTTATTTTATTTTATTTTTATTTATTTGAGAGGTAGAGTTAGAGAGACAAAGAAAGGTCTTCCATCTGCTGGCTCACTCCCTAAATGGCCACAATAAGGGGAGCTGAGCTGATCCGAAGCCAGGAGCCAGGAGCCAGGAGCCAGGAGATTCTTTCAGGTCTCCCTTGAGGGTGCAGGGGCCCAAGGACTTGGGTCATCTTCTACTGCTTTCCCAGGCCATAGCAGAGAGCTGGATTGGAAGAAGAGCAGCCTTGACTTGAACTGGCACTTGAACTGGCAGTATGCCACAGTGTCAACCCCAACTCCCTGGGTTTTAAAAACATGTGCCGTGCTGGTGAACTTCACTCTTGAATTCTATTGCTAAGGTAAGGGGGATGAGAGCAGTGTGCAAATCTACATTTTGGTAATTAAAGGCATCGCGGCTCACTAGGCTAATCCTCCGCCTTGCGGCGCCGGCACAGCGGGTTCTAGTCCCTGTCGGGGCGCCGGATTCTGTCCCGGTTGCCCCTCTTCCAGTCCAGCTCTCTGCTGTGGCCAGGGAGTGCAGTGGAGGATGGCCCAAGTGCTTGGGCCCTGCACCCCGTGGGAGACCAGGAGAAGCACCTGGCTCCTGCCATCAGATCAGTGTGGTGCGCCGGCCGCAGCGCGCTGGCCGCGGCGGCCATTGGAGGGTGAACCAACAGCAAAAGGAAGACCTTTCTCTCTGTCTCTTTCTCTCACTGTCCACTCTGCCTGTCAAAAAAAAACAAAAACAAAAACAAAAACAAAAACAAAAACAAAAACAAACAAAAACAAAACAAAAAACACGTGCCTTGTGTAGGCAAAGCAGTTCGGCAAAGGTGGAGGCTGCAAGCTGATTTTCAGAGAGCGCGTTTGCTTTCACGTACCTGGTTTTCTGCGCAGAGACCACTGGGCTCTCCTGACGGGACGCTGCTGATCTCCTGAGAGCCGCTGCAGGCGTCCAGCCATCGGGGAGAAGCATGGAACAGCACCACCTCCTCCAGGTCCTGCCTCCACCTGCAGCCCACCCTTGGCGCAGGCTCCAGCTCTGCTCCTCTCGCATTCCTTCCAGGGTTCCATCTCAGTTTTGTGAATGGAGCAGTGAGCTGTGGGGAGAACCAGGCACAGACAAACACTAAGGAGCCACTCTCCGCTCCATGCTGGGACATTCCTTCCCTGGGGAGGTCTGGTCCTGTCTATTCTTCACTGGTGTGTCTTAGCTTATTTCTCGTAAAAAGAAAAAAAAAGCTAAGCGCTAAGAACAGTCACTTATTATTCTGCCACATGGCAGGTTCTGTTCTAAGTGCTTTGTATGTCAGTGATATCACTTAACTTTAGCCTAACTTAGTGGGTCTTCCTTTGCCATTGGTTCACCCTCCAATGGCCGCTGTGGCCAGCGCGCTGCAGCCATCATACTGCGCTGATCTGAAGGCAGGAGCCAGGTGCTTCCTCCTGGTCTCCCATGCGGGTGCAGGGCCCAAGCACTTGGGCCATCCTCCACTGCACTCCCTGGCCACAGCAGAGAGCTGGACTGGAAGAGGGGCAACCGGGACAGAATCCGGCGCCCCGACCGGGACTAGAACCCGCTGTGCCGGCGCCGCAAGGCGGAGGATTAGCCTAGTGAGCCGCGATGCCTTTAATTACCAAAATGTAGATTTGCACACTGCTCTCATCCCCCTTATCTTAGCAATAGAATTCAAGAGTGAAGTTCACCAGCCCGAGCTGCTCCGAGGGTAAGACTGGCCGCTATTCCCTGTTTCCACCACCAGGTGGCACAGTCACCAGGTGGACTTCTCATTTGTCATGAGAAGCTGATACCATAGAGATCTTTGTGTTCACCCGTAATGCGTTCACTTACAGTAACTTGTAGGTTATTTTCTTTTTAAAAGTTTAATGAATTTATTGACTATTTGAAAGACAGAGAAAAGAGACAGACAGACACACACACACAGAGTTTCCAGTCGTTGGTTCACTCTCCAAATGACTGCAACGGCAGGGGCAAGGCCAGACCAAAGCCAGGAGCCGGGAACTCAATCCAGGTCTCCACATGCATGGCCGGGACTCAGGTGCTGGGCTGTCACCCGAGTGCACTCTGGGATTGCACACTAGGAGGAAGCTGGAACTGAAAGTCGAGCCAGGACTGAAACCCAAGCACTCTGACTTGGGATGCCGGCATCGTGAGCAGTATCTTCTGTCAAACACCTGTCCTGTACAGTGAATGTTAGATCCTGGGCATCTTCCTTGTGCCCCACAGTGTGCCTGTGGGGGCACACGAGTGGCTCAGACTACCATTAAGTGAGAAGACCTACTGCAAAGCCAAGTTGACCTTCCCTTACACACGTAGAATACTAGTAGTGACCAACCGTATCATAACCTTCAAGCGATTTGGGGTGAAGGGCCACCATTTGGGTTGGATTCAAATCCTGGCTACACCTCTGTGTCGTCCTGATGTTTTGACCTCTCTCGACCTGGACTCCTTGATTGCAAATTCACAGAACCTTCCACGTTGGGTTGTGGCCAAAATGATTACATGAGAGGAACACAATAAACACCTGGAGTCCAGAGTGCTGTACGTACTCATGAGTGGCAGCTCTAAGGAAGCCCCACTGCACCCCATCTCAAGGACCCCTTCCCTGTTAGAAAAGGGCATTTTGATAAGTGGAGTTTCTTTAGCTCTTTGTGGTTGTTTGCTGGACGTGCTACCATGTCCTCTGCCTAGCATCTCTGTGGCCGGCTGCTATTCCACCAAACAACAGTGCCATAATAGAGTCCTTTAGAAATTGACCTACAGAGGTGCATTTAATCAGAACTTCCTCACGCAGAGGTCTAGCACGGGGCAGTTGACTGCAATCATACTGCCCCCCCGCCAACCATCACCAGCCATCAGGAGATGGCTATGTTTACTCCTCTCCCAGGACCCACCGTTCTGCATACATTTGGCCAGCAGTGGTGCACAGCTTCCTTGCTGGAGAGAGACGCCCCCTGTGCCCAGCTGTTACCCGGGCTGGAGCTAGCATCGCAGAGCGCAAAGCGGGCACCTGGGCTCCTCTGCCCACGGCCAGACTCCCCGAGGGCACATCCCATGAGGCACCAAGGTTAACACCCACCGGCAGTCAGTATTTAACTTTCCACAGAAGATTAGATTAAACATTCGGGTCCACAAAAGCCTCGGGTTGCAGCACAGTTGGCGAGGACTTAGCTGGCTCCAAGCTGCAGGTACTCAGCGGGCGGAGAATTAGGTGCGAGCCTGTAGGGCTCGCTAACACCAACAGGCAGGTTCAGGCCAGCCGGGCTCTGTGAAGCCATTTCCTGCCGCTCACACACTGCACAGGTGGGTAACTTTTACTACACAGTCTTTATTTCTTGTGGAGTTATGCCACAAAATCGTCGGTCTTGCTTTTCCAGGAAACTCAAAGCAATGGCTTTCCTAGCATGTGGCCTGGCTTGTCCTCCCTCCCCCTTTCCTCCCTCCCTCCCTTCTTCCTTCCTTTCCTTCCTTGCTTATTTCCTTGTGATTTCCTTACTTATCTTTCCAGGGATTTCTTTTGGATGAAAAATGTGAAGTTTTTTTTTTGCGGGGCTTTGTGATGAAGACATAATCATGTCTTCTCTGTTGTTGATATGAACAAGTAGGTCTGCTGCCTTTGGAGGGTCCAGGCGATGCCTGTAACTTATTATCTTTCAGAAATGAGAACTGTGGCCTTTGGGGTGAAATGGCTGGTACTTGCCTTGTGCGTCCAGGTTGCCCGTGCCACAAACCACACATTTGTACCAGGGACCACTGGACTCAGGGGCTCAGCCTGTAGCCTGGAGACAGGACACACTGACTGATGTTGCAAAGCGGACCTTGGCTGGGATGGAGGGTGCGCTGACCACTGGCCTGGGTGACTTGGGTTCGAATCCAGGCGTGGTGGCCAACCTGAGTGCCAGGTGACCTTGGACAGATGATCTAAGCTCTCTGGGCTGTAGCTGTTCCACCGTCCAAGGAGTAAACCAGTCTTCTCCATCTCTAGGGGACCACCCTGTTCTATTACTCAGCAAGAACCATTTATTGGAGATGTAGATCCTGTTGGGCTAAATCCTAAGAAATTGCCAATATCTGACCTTTCTTAACTTACATAAGTAGTTAGTGCATAGGCTTCAAAAGACCATAAGTAATAGTTGTCTTGGCATTAGTAAAGTAAATGCCTCACGGTGCTCTACGGCAGAGATAAGTCTATATACGAAATATACCAGGTGATTATGAATTAAATGTCGTTGTGAGAATCAACCATTAAAATCAACTCACAGTTTGCATGTCCTACTATGAAGTCCCTCAGTGAGATTGCTTTCAGACGCTGGGACTCAGTGTTTTTCCTGCAGTCGGTCGTGACATAGACAATGACTTGAATATCTCCTCTCTAGCCACGCCTCAGCAGTAAAAATGTGACCCCCACCACCCCCGCCACCTTCTCCCCCCGACTCGACTTTTTCAGCCTGGCCAGGGGTCAGCACTTTAGCTATTTAATCCCCACAGGCTGCGTGATTAGGTCTTATCAAACGCACCTTCTGATCTGCTTAACACTGGGCCTCAGTGCTGATCAAAGAGCTGAATAAACAATCAGCACCGATGGCCGCTAGCTCTCAAGGGCGGTGGGGGCTGCCCGCCCGCACCTGCAAGGAACCCAGATGACCCCAGTGGAATTCAGCCCTGGGTCACTCCTCTCAAAGATTTCGTCACAGAAATCCTTAGAGCAGCTAAAGGGGGCCCGGGGGTCCCCTGAAACCAAACAGAGAGTTTCCAATGTGCCTATGTGTGCATTTCTGGGGAAATTAAAACCAAACAGTTTAATTTTTCTGAAGATCTACAGCATTCACCCACCTGTAAATATGTTAAGACTCACTGCTCTGGTAGTTTCCAGAGAATTCCACAGAGAAAGAAAATCATTCATTCGATCATTCGTTCTTCTGCAAACAGTTAGTGAGATCCGCTTTGTGCCAATGCTGTGTGGGTTCAACACGGATAGAACACTTCCTGTAATCCAGGGCTCTGACCCTCAGCCGGGTGCTTCCAGTGACGTCATCTCTCTGTGCCTTCCTTTGTACAATCAGGATAAGAAATACCAGTTTCATGGAGTAGTTGTGAGCAGTAAAGAGGTAATTTAAAAAAGAGATAAAACCAGTATGGCAGTTTGCAGGAGGAGCAGACTGGGGGGCGGGGGGGAGATCAGGCAACCCCTGGGCTCCTAACTACAGGAGAAACAGAAAGCACACATGGTGTTTCTTTCTTCTGCGATGTTGAAGGACAAATCATCGCAATCCGGTTCCAAGATCTTAATTGGCTTTACTTCCAATTCTAGAATCAGGCACATTTCATTCTGTAAGACACAGTGAGTGTTCCAACGGGCTCAGCAGAAAGTCAGTGTTATAGACGAGACGCAGAAGAGCCGAAGAAAGCCCCAACCAGGGAAAGTGGAGTGGTCATGGCAAAGTTACTTGGCTTGGAAGGTGGGAAAACAGCTTATTGGTGACCGTGGAGTTAAAACAAAGGGAACTTCCTTACGCTAGTTGAAACCTGTTGGGGGAGGGAGGATCAATTATTACATCTCTCTCTCTTGACTTCTCAGGAAGGTCAGATGAGCAAGTAGTTTTGATTTGGTGACATAGATAGAACCTTAGCACGAGTGACTCCATTTTGATTTTTAGCCAAAACAATGGCCTCTCATGGTGTTCAACACAGGACAAGGCAGGAAAAAATCACATGGAAAACCCCGATCCCCGCACTGGTCCTTCCTCTTCCCATCCACGCCAGCTGCCCCCTCCACAACTACTTCAAGTGACCCATTCCTAGCCTAGCTCTGCAATCTGGGGGTTCCGCTTGAGGCAGCCAGGTTCCAGGTGGCCCAAGTCCACATCCAAACCTCCCTCTGCCACGCCCTGGTCCCTCAGACAACTCAAGTACTTGCCTGGGTGTTTCACGTGGTGCGAAGCTAATGAGTGACTTTGGCGAAAACATTTACAGAAGGGCACTGGGAGGGCGCGGCCCTTCTCGCCACCCCCCCCTGTAGAATACTGGGACTTCTGCTTCTTTCACTGGCAGGAGTCACTGGTGGAACTCACAGCCCACGGCGGGACCACGCGTCAGGGCCACACAGGTTGAGCATTGCTTACTTACAGTGCTGGGGTCCAGAAGTGTTTGGCACTTGGGATCTCTTCAAATTTCGGAATAGGCTCATGTCTATATGAGACATTGATCGTGGGGATGGGACCCAGGTCTAGCCATAAGATTCATTCATGTTTCATGGACACTTTACACAGCCTGCCAGTTTCAACTGCATTTTGACCGTGACCCACAACCTGTCACATGAGGTCAGGTGTGGAATTTCCTACCCGTGGCGTCAGAGCAGGATGCAAAAAGTCAGATTTGAGAGCATTTCGGATTTTGGATTTTCAGATTAGGGCTGCTCAGCTGGGAGTGGGGAAGCGGGGCAGGACAGAGGAGCTCAAACCCCTCAGCTGCTTGTCATGTTGCTCCTGCAAAGGGACCCCACGTACGAGGGAGGGCCTCACGTGGCCCAGGACACACGTGGGGTTCCTTCAGAGCCCGCGAGCCGCCGCCCTTCTGCCCCAGGCTTTCTCCTCTAAGGATCCTCGCACAAAGCTTCCCTACGCCCAGCCCTTGGACATTTCTTCCCCCAAAGCTGTGGGTGGGGTGGGGTGGGGTTGGCAGAAACACAGGGTGAAAGGCTCGTGGGGTAGAACTCCTGCCCCGTCGCGTTTCCAAGATGAACCCTGACAGTACAGAGGGCGGGGGCGCGCGTGGGGATGGGCTGCCACGCGACACTTGGCGGAAGTGTGGACTCAGCCACGAAGAGACCTTGTCTTTTTCGGGGGTGGAAGAGCCAGGGGGAGGTCTTGAGGGCTGAAAGCTGACTCCTCTGCTCTCTTCTGCTGTGACCTGCGCTATTGCAAGGGAGAAGAGGCAGATGGGCGTGTGATTGGGCAACGTGCATCCAGTGCAAACTTCTCTGTTGAGTTTCTTTCCAACTCCTAAGCTCTGTGTGGCAATGAGAGGGAGGGAACGATCTCAGGGCCTTTAGAAAAATAGATCTTAAAACAGCAGAGCAAGCAAAGTGTACTGGTTACAGGAATTCTCAGTGAGGGAGTTAGTGTTTAATGGGTGCAGAATTTTAGTCTGGGATGATGAACAACTTCCAGAGATGGATTTAAAATAAATCAACGTTTGAGAGAGAGATGGATAATTTTCACACCATGTTATATCAAAATATCAACTTCCAGTATTTAACCTTCAAATACATGGTAATAATTATGAAAAAAGTCCTGTTGTTCTTTAAAAATGAAACATGATCTGAGGGCTTTTTTCCTTGTTGTACAAACAGATAATACTATTATTAAAATAGTCTGCTTACTCCTACTACCATGTACTGTTTAAGATGCCTTGTTTTTGGCATATAATTTATGCGTAATTACTTGTTATTCTTAGAGGAGGAAAAAACCTTGTCCAAAATGGAAGTTGCTTTCTGACTTTAATTTTTTTTTTTTTATTTTTTGAAAGTCAGAGCTACAGAGAGAGAGGAAGTGACAGAGAGAAAGAGAGAGATCTTCCATTTGCTGGTGCACTCCCCAGGTGACTGCAATGTCCTGGACTGGGCTGGTCAGGAGCCAGGAGTTTCTTCCAGGTTTCCCACATGGGTGCAGGGGCCGAAGCACTTGTGCCACCCTCCACTGCTTTCCCAGGTGCATTAGCAGAGAGCTGGATTGTAAGTGGAGCAGCCGGGACTCGAACCGTCGCCCACATGGAATACTGGTGTCATAGGCAGTGGCTTTACCTCTATACCACAGCTCTGGCCCCAGAAGAAAAGATATACTTTTAAGTACACTACCTACCATTAGCACTTTGATCTATTTACTTCCAGTCTTTCTCATTTTCTTAAATATGTAAATATTTATTTATATATATGTACATATCAAACATATGAGGGTACTTCAATAAGTTTGTGGGAAATGGAATTAAAAGATAAGTTTAGGGGCCAGCGCTGTGGCATAGTGAGTAAAGCCGCTGCCTGCAGTACCAGCATCCCATAAGGGTGCTGGTTCAAGTCCGGCTGCTCTGTTTCTGATCCAGCTCCCTGCTATGGGCTGGGAAAGCAGTAGAAGATGGCCCAAGACCTTGGGCCCCTGCATCTACATGGGAGACCTGGAAGAAGCTCCTGGCTCTTGGCTTCAGATCAGCCCAGCTCTGGCTGTTTCGGCCATTTGGGAAGAGAACCAGCTGTTGGAAGACCTCTCTCTCTCTCTCTCTCTGCCTCTGCAACTCCGCCTTTCACATAAATAAAGAAATCTTTTTTAACAAAAAGATGTCTACTTTGATGCAAAATTTTTGAAATCTATGCATAGCTTTCCCATAATATGCATGTTCTTTGAACTTTTAGAAGCCCACATATATGTACATAAAATGCACATATAATACAAGTATAATTTTATGTCTGCCATCAAAATTTTATTATAAAATAATTATGCATGCAAGAAATGAATGAAATGTGTGTGCTCAACTCAAAGACTTACAAAATATGCATTTACTCAATCACTAGGCAGGTTAAGAAGGAATGTACTGCTACCCTTCCCCCAGCCCTCCCTTGTAATGACGGAGCTTTGTTCACGGACATCATAATTTATATTACAGAAGGAGGGAAACATGTCTGCTCTATCCAACTGGACAGAGACACTGGAAAATGTCTTCAAAAGGATTTTTGTCACCTACATGGACAACTGGCGCAGGAACACGACGGCCGAGGAAGAGGCGCTGCAGGCCGAGGTGGACGCCGAGAACTTCTACTACGTCATCCTCTACCTCATGGTGATGATTGGCATGTTCTCCTTCATCATCGTGGCCATCCTGGTGAGCACGGTGAAGTCCAAGAGGCGGGAACACTCCAACGACCCCTACCACCAGTACATCGTGGAGGACTGGCAGGAAAAGTACAAAAGCCAGATTTTGCATTTCGAAGAAGCCAAGGCCACCATCCACGAGAATACGGGCGCGGAGGGGTTCAAAGCGTCCGCCTGACCGGGGAGAAAGGCACAGGGCCTGGCATGCAGACGTGAAGACAGACCAGTGCCGTCCAGCAAGTCTCGGTTGGTTCGACAACCGAGACAGACGACATTTCAATCTAAGTGACTTGTGTTTGCCTATCAGAGCAGTGTTTTGTGCCAAAGATCTCTTACTTTCTGTCCAGTGGAAATGCCATGTTAGTCCATGTCAACCGCAAATGAACGCCAAATTGAACATATAGTGCCTGGGCAGTGGCAGTGGAAAAAGGGAGAGATTTATGAATGACTGAATCTTCTCTCTCACAGAACATCATTTGCACGTGACTGGCTCAATGTGTAAATAGTCCGAATGTTATGGACCAGCCGAGGTTCAAAACCTACCCCTTGTGCACCCATTGAGATAGGAGTGTTTATTTATTAATTCACGTGTGCGGAGTCTGAAGTGACGAAGAGCAAAGCCATGGCACTGTCGTGCAGTTCGCTTCTTGGAAAGCCTGAAGAACAGGGGCTGGCATCGTAGCATAGCTGGTTAAGACTCCGCTTGCAAAGCTGGCACCCTGTATGGGTGCCAGTTCAAGGCCCGGCTGCTCCGCTTCCAATCCGTTTCCTTGCTAATGCGCCTGGGAAAGCAGTGGAGGGTGGTCCAAGCCCTTGGGTCCCTGAATCCACCTGGCAGTTCAGGAAGAAGCTCTGGAATCCCAGTTTTGGTCTTGCCCAGCCCCAGCTGTTGTGGCCATTTTGGGAGTGAATCAGCAGATGGAAGACCTCTCTCTCTCTCTCTCTCTCTCTCTCTCTCTCTCTCTCTTTGTCTCTCCTCTCTCAGTAAATCTGCCTTTCATGTACATAAAAATAATAAATAAATCTTTTAAAAAAGAGTTTAAGAAGAATATTTCAAAATAATCATACTAGATAAGTAGAATATTTTAGAACTGTCTGCTGCAACTTCCATATTTTTTAGCTGATAGTTTAAGTTACACAGAAAAATAACCTTTAAAAGATCTGTTTGCTTTAAGAAAAAGAAAAAAAACATTGCTTTGCAAACATCTTACTTTCTTTCACTCAAATTTATTTTCTTCTCGTTCTAATTACTGATTTTCTTGTTTGAAAAGACTACAGAGGGGCTGGCACTGTGGCATAGTGGGTAAAGCTGCTGCCTGCAGCGCCGGCATCCCACATGGGCACCAGCTCCAGTCTCAGCTGCTCCACTTCCGATCCAGCTCTGCTGTGGCCTGGGAAAGCAGTAGAAGATGGCCCAAGTCCTTGGGCCCCTGCACCCGTGTGGGAGACCTGGAAGAGGCTCCTGGCTCCTGGCTTTGGATTGCTGCAGCTCCAGCCATTGTGTTCATTTGGGGAGTGAACCAGCAGATGGAATAGCTCTTCTCTCTCTCTCTCTCTCCCTCTGTGTGTGTGTGTATGTGTGTCTGCCACTCTGTAACTCTGCCTTTCAAATAAATAAATAAATCTTTAACAAAAAAGAAAAGATCAAAGGTACAGAAAGCGTTCAAAATGATGCTGTATGTTGAAAAGCTACACAACAGGGCTGGAATTTTGACACAGTGGATTAAGTCACCGCTTAAGAACCCGGCATCTCATATGAGTGCTGGATTGAGTCCTAGCTGCTCTGCTTCTAATCCAGCTCCCTGCTAATGCATCTGGGAAGGCAGCAGAAGATGGCCCAAGTGCTTGGGCCCCTGCACCCATGTGGGAGACCCAGATGGAGTTCCTGCCTCTTGGCTTCAGCCTGGCCCAGCCTCAGCCATTGCAGCCATTTGGGGAGTGAACCAGCAGGTGGAAGATCTCCCTTTCTCCCACTCTTTCTTCATGATTCCGCCTTCCAAATAAACAAATAATTCTTAAGAGAGAGAGAGAGAGAAAGAGAAAAACTAGACAGTAACTGGTTAATATTTTATACTTTGGGGAAATATTGGTAATAGATGCAAAATTTCAGATAACAGAAATAAACTCAAGAGATCTATTGTACCATAAGGTAACTTTGTTAATAACCATATATTATACATATTCTTGAAAAAATGCTAAGACAGTGGATGTGAAGTCTTCTCCCCCTCAAAATGATGACCAAGGGAATCCACAAGCTGACTGGGTAGATTTAGCCATTCCACGCTATATATTCCAAAACATCAGTTTAAGTAAAATGTTAAAAACAGCTTGCATGAAGGGGCCAGGACTGCTGTGGTTTGCACGTGGTTGGCTCCTGCCGAATGTATGGTGGAATTTGGTTGCAATGCAACAGGGCAGAAGGGTGGTGCCACGAAGAGGGTTTGGTGTCTTTCTCAAGAGGTGAGCTCCCTCGGGCATGGGTGAAGTCTCCCTCTGGCCTTCACTGCCCCCTCCTCTCTTCCGTTACACTCTCCTTTGCTGCTCGCTGCTTTGTCAAGTGTGGGGCAGGGTGAGGCCTCACCTCACCCGGTCAGCTTCCCCTTGGGGCACTGGAGGAACGCCACCTCTTTATACCCATGTTCGATACACAGCTGCCAAAATCATTCACCCTAATTTGCCATTTCAGTATCACCACCCACGAGACCCGGGCTTTCCACTTCCACTCCCACAACTGAAAATGCCAATTCAAACAGGCTTTTCAAGTTCCCTCTGCTGTGTCTCCTGGTTCCACATGGCCTGAGTACCACTTGTTTCTTTTTTTCTTTCCTTTTTTTTTTTTTTTTAAGATTTATTTACTTAAGAGGCAGAGTTAGAGACAGAGAGAGGGAGAGACAGAGAAGTCTTCCATCCCCTAGTTCACTCTCCAAATGGCTGCAAAGGCCGCAGCTGGGTTGATCCCAAGCCAGGAGCCAGGAGCTTCTTCCAGGTCTCCCACGTGGGTGCAGGGGCCCAAGGACTTGGGCCATCTTCCACTGCTTTCCCAGGTCATCAGCAAAGGACTGGATTGGAAGTGGAACAGCCAGGATTCAAACGGGCACCCATATGGGCTGCTGGTGCTGTAGGCGATGCCTAACCTACTAGGCCACAGTGCTGGCCCCCCACTTGTTATCGTGTAGCTCGGAAGTTAATTAAGAAGGGAGCCACGTTGATCCACATTACCCAGGGCCACGTCCCAGCTCTGACACTTGCTGGATTTAAAGCTCTAAGCAGGGGCAGGCATTTAGACTCCTGTGTATCATGCTGGAGTTCAATACCCTGCTCTGGTCCCTAACGCTAGCTTCTTGCTAACGCAGACTCTGGGAGTCAGTGGTGATGGCTCAAATAATCGAACCCCTACCACCCACATGGGAGACCTGGGTTGAGTTCTCAGCTCCCAGCTCCCAGCTCTGGCTTGGCCCAATCTCAGCTCTTGCAGGCATTTAGGATTAAACCAGAGCATTATAAAATGAATTTTATAAATCGCTGAGAAAATTTATGAACGTCTTTAAGGCTTAAAGAAAAACAAATTAATCTCTTTGTGTTACCATTGCATTAGTGCAATGATTATAATTATAGTATGTCCTTTATTGGCTTGTTATGGTACTTAAAACAGCCTCAAAGTACTTAGAACAAAGGCACTTTAATTACTTGCCTTCCTTTGTTAACAAAACAACCCCCCATACCCCTAAGTCTGTTCTCTCTGCCTTCCCTAATATTTTATACTTCACTGCCAGAGTCGAAATGGGGTTTGCAGTTAGATTACCTGGATGCAAATCTCCATTCTGCATGGCCATTTGCTCATGGTCTAGCACCAGCCACTCCATCTCCCCCGGCCTCTATTTCCTTGTCCCCAGGAGGGTGAGCTGAGTACATGGGGAAAACGCTATAGGGGGCCGGCGCCGTGGCGTAGCGCAGCAGGTTGAAGCCCTGGCTTGAAGCACCAGCATCCCATATGGCCGCCGGTTTGAGTCCCAGCTGCTCCACTTCCGATCCAGCTCTCTGCTGTGGCCTGGGAAAGCAGTAGAGGGTGGCCCGAGACCTTGGGCCCCTGCACCCATGTGGGAGACCTGGAAGAAGCTCCTGGCTTTGGATCAGCGCAGCTCCGGCCGTGTGGCCATCTGGGGAGTGAACCAGCGGGTGGAAGACCTTTCTCTCTTTCAAGTAAATAAATCTTTAAAAAAAAGAAAAAGAAAACGCTATGGACATTCCATCTCCTTATCCTTATACCAGGGGACTTCAAAAAGTCCATAAAAACAATGGCATGAAGAGATTAGCTATAACAAGCAATAGACTTTTCTTCTAATTAACCTTTAATCCCATTTTCCACGAACTTCTGCAGGCCCGCTCCTATGAGTGTTCAGTTTGTGCCTCCCCACGTGGCCCAACTCTGTCCCTAAAAGGGCCCAACAACTCTGGAGGAATCCGGGAACCCAGTACCGGCCATCCTCTGTCACCCAGAGGACAACCCTCCACTGAGATAATCCCAGTCTGGCTGGAGAATCACCGTTGGGAGTTCGGAGCCTGTAGATGGAGGATTTAAGCCCGGACAGAGGGAGAATGAATTGGCTGCCTCCCCCAGCTCCCGCCTGGTTACAGGGTTCATACTTTTCTTACAGAGAGAGTGCATGCGCTGAGTCAGGTTTAACCAAGATAGGGTTGTCAATCACACTAAAAATCAAGAATCTGAGAGCGAGGAAGCTTCGCCACATCTGGTCCCTCCTCACTCCCAATTCAGCTCCTGCACGCTCAGAGATAGAACATGGCTCGCCTCGGCGAGGGGCTATTGCGCCTGCGCATGGACTGGCCCCGGGGCCGACTGCGCCTGCGCGCTGAGCGGTGCATTTCGGGACGCGTAGTTTTCCGGCGGGACTGTGAGAGTCGTGGTTTGTGCACCGACCCCCAGACCCGGGGCTCCGCGGCACGGAGGTGTAAGTGTGGGCCACCGGGTCGGTGACGGAAGCCTGACTCGAAAGCCGAAAGCCCTGGGGCACAGGGAGATCTGGCTGCCGGCCCTGTGTTCGCGTTTCCCTTCCGGGATGAGCGCCAGCGGGTGTCCGGCCTCCGGTCCCCACCCGCGCACGTCCACCTCTGGTCTGGCCGCCCAGGCGCTGCGAAGCTCGCGGACCCGCGCGTCCAGGGTGGCGCGCGCTCCCGGGGGAGGGGGTGCCCAGGGCTGGTTCGGGACAGATGGGCGAGCGGGGGAAGCTGTGACAGTCCCTGGCCCTGGTCCTCGGGTCTGAGTGAGCAGGTGTCGGGGGCCGAACACTTGTGGAGGGGAACAGGGTCTGGCCCCCTGTGCCCAAGGCGCTGAGGCCCAGAGGCGGGGGGTCCCGCGCTCGCCTTGGCCCCAGCTTTGCCCCTCAGGGCGTGGGGTTCCAGCGGGTACAGGGGGCTGAACTGCAGAAGCCACCGAGATGGGGGCACCCAAAGCCCCCGCCGTCGCTCCTCGACCGCCCATCAGCGGTGGGGGTGGGAGCCGGCCCCACCGGGGTGGCGTGGGCTGGTTTTGTTTAAAGTCTGAGTCCAGGAGGAAGAGGGAGGGCCACGTGATGCCCAGGGTTCCCCCGGGAGCCCCCTGCCCGGACCTCCCCCCGCCACAAATGGCCGGGAGCAGTAAAGGAAGAGACCAGACCTGGATTAGCTTCCTTTGGGAAGTTCGGACAAAGGACATGGGCTGTTTAGTGGCTGGAATGAGAGAGATAGGCTGAGCTGGCTAGATGCGCCCAAAAGGAAGCGTCGCTGTGGACAGTGCGTCGTCCCTACTGCTTTCATTGGCAAAACCAATGCAAACGCGTAGGGTTTTTGTTTCCAGGAAAAACTGGCAAAGGAGAAAATACCAGTATTTGCAGCTGCATCTAAGCCGTTTGCTGCTTCTGAGGCCAAAGCGCAGAGACTGCGGGTAGTTCCAGAGGGGGTTAGAATTCCCAGCTGCCCCTGGGTTTTGCGCCCCTCAAAGTTGTTTCTGTCTCCGTGGCTTCTGCAGGTCAGCCCTCAGGGCCCCCGGCTGCCGCTTGTTTCAATGTTGCATCAGAGGTGCATTTGATAGAGTTGCAAATGGCTTGCTGGTATTTTTAGCTGTCTGAGTTCTCCTTTGCCACAGGCCTGCAGAGTGCTTGCAAATGGCTGACTTGGGTCCCGGGATTGGAGGGAGGTGGGAAAGTTGTAACTCAGAGGCCTTGGGTGGGAATGACGGAGCTGCTCTCCCTCCTGTCTCCCACCCTCACCCCACCCCTCCTGGTGTTGTGGCAGATCGGGTGGAAGGTTGGGGGTTCCAGAGCTGTAGAATTGTCTTGGGGTTCTGATTTGAAAAAGGAGAGCGCTTGGGTTCAGAGGGTTGATGATGTACCCCGGGGCCCTGTGCTCGGCCGTGGGTGCCACCAGGAGTAGAGCGTGGCCTCCAGGTTGGGGTTCTCTGTTCCACGCATTGCTCTCCGGCAATGACTGCTCTTGTCTTGGCTGCCGTTGTTTATGACTTTCAACTTGACACGGCCACCAGCCGAAGGAGAGAGGTTTATTGTTACAGTAGCGGTTGCCTTTTATCTCTGCTTTCTGTGTGCTCATGTAGGGCATAGTGTTTTACAGTGCACCCTCTGGAGGAGAATGGACAGATGGGAGTTGAGGCTTAGGGAGGCCAAGTGCCTGTCCAGGGTCACTCTGCTCGCGGCCGCAGTGTGACTGCCAGAGGGCAGAATAGCAATGCACGTTTTCATTTGTTTCCAGCTGCAGGCTTTTTGCATCTGTTTGTTGTCCTTAAGTTTGGGAATCAATATATATATATTTTTGACAGGCAGAGTTAGACAGTGAGAGAGAGAGAGAGAGAGAGAAAGGTCTTCCTTCCGTTGGTTCACCCCCAAAATGGCCGCTACGGCTGGCGCACTGCGACCATCACATTGCGCCGATCCGAAGCCAGGAGCCAGGTGCTTCCTCCTGGTCTCCCATGCAGGTGCAGGGCCCAAGCACTTGGGCCATCCTCCACTGCACTCCCGGGCCACAGCAGAGAGCTGGCCTGGAAGAGGAGCAACTGGGACAGAATCCAGTGCCCTGACTGGGACTAGAACCTGGGATGCCGGTGCCACAGGCCAAGGATTAGCCTAGTGAGCCGCGGCGCTGGCCGGAATCAATATTTTTTATACCAGTGGGTATGTCATCAGGTCTTAGAAAATTTGTACGGAATCAAACTCCTCTGCTGTATTTGTACGTGACTCAGTTAAAGCAGGGATTGTGAAAGTAAAATTTACATTTTTTTAAATCATGGACTTTAAAATTGACATAATGTGAACAAATTTCTGTATTTCATCTATACAGGTTTTAAGAGCATAATGATACTCCCCGCCCTATCCTCCCTCCCACCCACGGTCCATCCCCCCGCCTCCTTCCTTTCCTATTTTTTCTTCTAATTTGTACAGTGATATACTCTCAATTTATCTTATGATCACAAGCTTAACCCTCCACAAATATAGAATTCAACAAGTAGTAAGTAGAAAAACCGCTGTTCCTCAAGACTATAGACAAAGGTTGAATACAATCATCTCAAAAAGCCTGAAACATTTCTAAAATATGCAACATGGCTAATCCCTCCGATTACTGGAGATGACTTGGGAGTGGAAATCCTAGAGACAGGTTGTAACAGGTAGGGTCGGATTTCTCCACTGCGGATCAGAATCCGCTGCTACTTAAGAGAAGCGAGTCATTTCTACCCAAGGGTAGTGAGCACCTTCAGTCACCGCTACCCATTTAAACAGATTTGCTGCTGAAGTTGTTAGCATTAGCTTATCTGCCTTTTATCGTGGGGAAAAGCGGCCTATCTTGTGCCAACTGCCAGCTTGTTTGCAAGCTGTTATGGTCTTGGATAGAGAAGCGTGAACTTTTTCAATCTAGATGCTTTTATAGTTGAAAAGTTCTCG